CACGTCGTCAACCTCTCCAGGTACCCGCCCCACCAGCACCACCAGCACCACCAGCACCACCAGCACCACCAGCACCTCGCTGCGCACACAGTGCAAGCACACCACCGCACATCAACACACGCGCACCACGCACGCAACCACTTCCTGCTTCACCTGTGGCTGTGCACAAGGCGCCATTGCTGCCTTGGGCGTCGTCTCCCAAATATTCCCCCGTGGGTGTCTGCTCATGTCCTTCGCTCCCCCCCCCGGCCCTCTTTCGCTTCCCTCCTGGGCCCGCTCCTCGATTCGATGATCAGCGTGGCGGGCATCGAGGCCTACAAGGGCGGCAGCATCTACTGTGCCTCCAAGCGTACCTCTCCGCTCTCCCCTTCGTTTGCGGCTGGTGGCGGTGGCGGCTGGTGGCGGTGGTGGCTGGTGGTGGCTGGTGGTGCGTGGGTGGGGTTACCTCCTTCGCTTACCCCATCATCCTTCGACCGTGGCGCGATTGGGACGGATGTGGATATATATGGGTATATGGATATGTGGATATATGGATGTGCCCGTCTGCAGACGCCGTGCAGGCCATCACCAAGTCGCAGAGGAAGGAGCTGGTCCACACTCCACTCAGGGTGACCTCCATCTGCCCCGGTACGACCCACCAAACCAAACCAAACCAAACCATCGAGACCCACACCAACCGCCAACCGTCCCTCGCCTCCCCCTTGGCCAACGAGCAGGTTTGGTGGAGACCGAGTTCAGCTTGGTGCGCTTCAAGGGCGACACCGGCAAGGCCAGCGAGCCCTACAAGGGCCTCGAGCCTTTGCTCGCTCGGGACGTCGCCGATGCCGTCGCCTATGCCGCCTCCAGGTCAGCCCAGCTCAACCCCCCTCCCAGCCACCACCACCAGCCACCAGCCTGATCCGCTGCTGCCACGGGGGCGTGGTGGGGGCCAGGCCGCCGCACGTCCAAGTGGCGGACCTCTTGATCTTCCCCACCAACCAGGCCTCGTCGGAGATCGTTCACAGGGCGTAGAAGCCACCAGCCCCCCAAAGAGCTCCTCCTGCCCGCCCAAACGGAAGTGCTTCATCGCTGCGTCCCCACGGGCCGGTAAAAAAATAAATAATTTCATTAAATAAATACGTCACGCGCCGCCGCCGCCCTGCTGGTGATGGCACGCCTGGGCGCAGGCTCGGATGTCCTCCACCCATTGGTCCCTCTCCTCGGTCTCCTTCACGAGGAAGACCAGCCGGTCGGTCGGAGGCACCACCAGCAGCGAGTGAGGTCGGTGGTGGTGGCGGCGTTGGTCCGCGTCCCCCTCGGCCTGCTGCTGCTGCTGCGCTGCTGGCAGGTGCTGGTGGTGGCTGGTGCTCTCGCCTGGAGGAGGTGGAGGTGGAGGTGTGTGCGCGCGCGCACGCGGTGAGTACCTATATGTGTGCATGCATATATGTCTGTCTCCCCACGAGGGAAAGGTGTCGCGGTGCACGCGCGCACGTGTGCGGTGGGTACCGCCGGCGGAGTCTCTGCTCTGGTGGATGGTGAAGCCCCGTTTGTGGTAGTCGTTGGCCACCACGCAGAGACTGAGCGGGACAAAGCTCTTCAGGCGCAGCATGCGTCGCCGGGCGTCGCCGTCGCCGTTGTCCTTGTCCCTGCGCGCCTCGTCTTCCCTGTCCCGCTTCTTCTCCTTGGCGATGACGAGGGCGTCGTTGAAGAGCAGGAGCACCCGATCGGAGCGTTTGATGCTCTTGCTGTCCCTCTTCCGCACCCGCACCACCCCCTCCCGCACCAGCCGCCTGCCCACGGCCACGAGCTCGGGAGGGGGTCCCCCGACAAAGCGATTGTAGAGGTCGGTCAGCGCATGCAGGCCCACCAGCTGATGCGCCTGGTCGATGGAGCACACCGCCTCCGCGATCTGTTCTCCGCCGCCGCCGCCGCCGACCCACCCAAAACATCAACCGACCACTACCGTGAGTAGGCACGCCTTGGCCTGCGCAGCCATCTGAAAAGCACCACCAGCAGCAGCGGAGAGGTGTGTGCCGTGTGTGCCGTGTGTGCCGTGTGTGCAGGGGGTTGATGGTCGTTGGCCGTGTCGTGTGCACCTTGGAATGGGCCCGGCGGAGGAGGCTCTCCTCGGGCGCTCCAGCGGCCTCAGCCAACTGGGCCAGGAGCAGCGGGTACTTACACAGCCGCTGCCCAGAGAACAGCACTCAGCGGAGGAGGAGGAGGAGGAGGAGAGGAGAGCCAAACAAGCCGTACGCACCTGCATGGGCTTGATGAGGAAGTCGAGTAGGCGGAGCCGCCGGCTGCTGGGCTGCATCTGCACCTCCTGGGAGAAGGAGGGGGAGAGGAGGAGGCGCCCATTAAATCAACGCAATTCGAGGAGAGACCACCTCACCTCACCTCACCTCACCTCCGGATGATGGAACCCTCCTCCTCCTCCCCCCCAATCAAACAAACAAACCCACCCGGGGAATGCTTCATAGCTACATATGTAGATAAAGAAGGCCACGTACCTCGAGAAAGGCGGCAAAGCCGGGGCGCACAGTGGTCAGCTGTTTGAGCGTCTGTACGACGAGTGGGTAGTGGGAGCAGTGGTTGCGGTACACCGTCTCGAGCGTCGCCATCTGGTGGCGGTTATGGCGGTTATGGCGGATAGCAGAGCATGTGTAGCAGTGAAAGCAGCAGCATAGGACCCACGAGCGCACGCGGGGGCAATGGACGGGGGCAGCGTGGTCAGTCCAGCCCCTCCCAGCAACGAACGAACGAACGAACGAGGCGCGAGCGGGCGGGCGGAGATGAGTGGGGGTGAGTACGTGTGCGAGGAAGCAGCGCCCGATGGCATCGTTGCGTGCGGGGGACGGGAGGCGGCAGGCGGCGACGAGGCCCTGCAGCAGTGCGGCGCTGCAGCCCTGGAGGGGCCGCGTGTGGCAGAAGATGTGCCCCACTTCGTCCCACGTGAGCCTCGCGCCCCCCGCCCCCGCCTCCTCCCCCTCCTCCTCCTTGGAGTGGCGGAGAAGCGGCTCCTCGTACAGCTGCGCCCACCCGCACGTCCACGCGTCCATGCACAGCCACGCAACAACAACAACATATATATATATACACACACATAAACACATATACAATTATATACATATACATGAATGAGTGCGACAAAAGTCGAGACCAATTTAAGAATCCTGCCCAACCTCGGCGGGTAAAAAGATAAAAAAAGGTCTCGAATAGTTGAAACGCCAAAAAACAGAAAAAAAGGAGGGCAGGCGCGTGGTGGTGGCGGGAGGGATGATTGGGGGGGAAGGGGGGGGGAATGGGTGCCTCGAGGACGAGCCGAAGGTCGCGTTCGTAGGTCCACTCGGTGTAGACCAGCTCTCGCGCGACGCGGCCTTCTTCGGTGTGCGTTGCCCAGTCAATGTCGTGGAGGGCGAGGCTCGCGCTGACCTCCCCGCTCTCCGGGGCCATCCGGTGCGAGTGCTCGCCGCCAGCTCCGTACTGCTGCTGGTGGTGGTGGTGGTGGTGGTCTGGGGCGGCGAGGTGGCCGTGTGCGGGGGTGGGAGCTGTGGCGGCGAGCTTGGTCACGAGGTGGTGGTCCCGGCGC